TTCGCTATAACCAGCACGCCTCTCTTCTTAAGCTTCCAGCGAGTCTGACGCTTCGGACTTCCAGTTGCTCTGATCAGTGAATCGGCGAACGCAGATAATATCAAATCTCGGACACCAGTTAGCGTGCTCGTCATGACAACTGAAAAGGCCAGCCACCAGCTGATCGCCTGGGTCCACGCTAGCATGCGCGGTGTCAGCATCCTCCAATCCCCTTCCAGCCAGGCTCTGACCAATGAAACGGCCATGTTTCCCAGATGACCATTGCCAGCTCTGACGCTGGTAATAGGCAGGTCCAAAAGATAGCTGATGATACGATCCCATGGTAACAGGTTGTCCGTGTGAAATATGAGGACGAGCAGTAGCCATTGGATGGCAACTGGAAATAACGGCTTCAAAAGCCGCAATAAGAGAGCCATTTAAGTTCATGAATCTGAGTGAACGAACTGACAGGGGTCAGTAACGATCTTCCAAGCAGCTTTTAAATATATCCTGGAACTCAAAACACAAACAAGCAAGCATTAGAAAATAGCAAGTGTTAGCTGCTGCAGAAATGTGGTGTTTCCCCGACGTGCGGAGAATGTGTAACGAACTAGCAGGTTCCTGTCCAGAAGTTTTAGGAACACCTCGGAACCAAATTGAAATTGACTATACAGATGTCAACAATTTTGGAAGCTAAGAAAGTACCTGTCGGGTAGCATCAGTGTCGGATGCCGGGGTCTCACAGTGATCAAGATTCGCGGAAATTAGCATAACAGGGGCCAATAGCAGCAAAATGCAGGCAGTGTGTTGAGCGTTTATCATGGCGTGATGCAAAACCCGAAGCCAAGATCGACTCAACAAGTAAACCAGGACGTCATCGAGTAACCAAGCTGAACTTAATCATATTTGAATCTGCAAAACAGGAAGCCGAAAGTAACATCATCTATCATCGACTTCTAGAAACTCCGAATTTTAGGAATACCTGATTGACGACGACCCTGTTTCAGCCTGGTCCAGCAGTCATGGTGGCCGGATTAAATGAGCCCGTTAATGTTCAGTAAGGAGAGCATTAAGACTTATATGAGGTCGATCACTTGCCTCGGGTGACGTGATTCGGTAAAGCCTGAAGAGAGGAAGTAGGAACCATTAGCTGCTTGCTCGAAGCTAGAGGAAAAAACAAGAAGTACGATATCCTGCACGTTCCAGAGTCACGACGAACTGGATATGTCCAAGTTATCAGGAATGTCATGCGTGATTAACTTGAAAGAGGCTAACGAACCTAATAGTTCTCGAGTCGTCGATCCCTATCCCAAGAGTGTCTGGCTGTGCATCCTACTTCAGCCAGGACCAACGGTAGTAGGAGTCGGAATAGGAGACACAAGCTTAGGTCACGCTTTCATAGGAAATGGAGGAGGACAGAGAAGTCTTCGTATTAATTCCTTATTACATCCTGAATAAAGCACATTGGAACCATTCGCAGCAAAATGCAGGCATTGCTAGAAAACGAGAATGAGGAGGATGACCAACCTAAGGAGAGTACCCAAGATCGCCGTGACGCGACACGCTGAGAGCGAAAGCCTAACGAAAGTCTGCAGCATAGGAGCTCTCAAGTATCCTTGACGGGATGATCTGATCGCTCCCTGTTCTGTGGTCTCAGTTGAAGCTGTCGAGACAAACAAGAAGAGACTCTAGTTGCAAAGTTGGGCATCAATGTTTCTGAACGAGAACCAATGACACAGCAGGACACCCATTTCATGCCATTGTCTGTGTGCAGCAGACCGTTAGTCTATGTGCGTAGCGGTAATTTCGAGGTTCCCTGATACCTGTACGCGATAGGGGAAGCAGTGGAATGGCATGGCATTTTAGTCATTTTTCTTGACTCTAAAATTTCCAATAACATTTCCATATTAGCATAATCTTCGCAAAGGAAGTTTTTTGCTCTTGAAATATTGACTTCGCTACAATTTTTAGAGCGTGAAAACAAGATAGTATGTACATTTTCTATAGAAAATGTTTTAGTACGTAAAATGATGTCCATATACTGTGTTCCCCCGAATAGAAGCGCAGATGCGCTTCTAATTTGTCGGGCAAAGATCAACGGTGCGCTTAAAGCTCATGCTCCAATAAAAAACACACTTTAAAATGTAGCCCACGATGCAGGCTGTGCAACTCACACCGTTTCCAGGCAGTTCGAGTATTGAAAAAACTTGCCAATCCGTCAGCACTGAAGTGGAGCTGCATCCATGCACGTACTGCTACATGGCGGTCCAATCAGGCATGGAAGCGGCGTGCAAGAGGGACAATTGCAACATGCCTAACCTCTCGATTGGCCCGGAATATGTCAGGGACGAGATTCCTAGCCTGAGAAAAATCCTTTGCAATGAGATTTCCCTTCGTTGTGGAGGAACTCGAACCGCCGTCTCGACAGGGGTCTCTGCTCGTAATCCTTTTGCACTTTCACACTTTCATTTTGTCCCTGCAAACTGCTTATTCTCTAGTGTTTGAGCCATGGTGGGCATCCCATGAGTGGCTTTCCTGTTCGGGCTTCCACCAGACGGTCACATCATAGGGTTAGACGGTAAACATCAAGCCTAATGCCTCCTATACCCCCATGCTCCCCTGCTCCGCCGGCACCTCCTGCCTCAACTTCTCCGTTGATACCTCCTGCGCCGCCAACACCAGCTGTGTTTATGAACGGTGCTCCAATTCTGACGCTTCTCCTCCCGATCCTGCGGCTTATGCGGATGACGCGGAGGCTGAGAAATGTTACGAGGCGGCTACAGATAACGCGGAATTTGCGAGTGACGGTAATTACGCGGAGGCTGGTGTGCACGGCGATGACACAGATGCTGCGCGCGACGAGGACGGAGACGATCCTTATTGGGGAAGATCGAATAACTACTGGTGGGACGAATCTGCGTCGGTGAAGATTATGACATGGAATACTGGTCCCGTGACGGCCTTTCTCAGCGTCTCTCGACTCCCACCTATCCCCCTGGAGATACCCACCCTTCGACCCAAAGCCGAGATGCCCACCCCCCCTCTCCTAATAATCGCCTTATTACGCGCAAGCGTCACGCATACACCACGGGATAGAAAGTGAATCATTCGTCTGGAGGCTGTCACCGACGTAAGCGATGTGGCGCGAGAGTCGGAATCTTACGAAAATGTCTGATGGGGTGGAAGAAGAAAATTGTTGACCTCAACGCTGTTGCTGCTTGTCGCAAGCACCTGCACGGGCATGGGTGAAGCTCGTGGTATCGCGACATGGAGCAGGACGTTTACACCTGGGTCATACGAGCGCGCCCCAAGGGTCTTGCGGTGAACGTATGGCGTCTTAAGTAGTGATCACGAGACGTCATGAAAGTGCTCCATCCGGATGTAAAGTGGAAGGGCTCTTACTGTTGGCCTGAGCGCTTCCGTTCCAGGTTGAATTTGTTTGACAGTAGTAAAACTGAAGTCGGTAAAACAATTCTCTGACTGTAAATCTCACACTTCTTTGAAGTCGGTCCTAGGAGTTGTTGTCATGATGTCATTGCTTTCCTACCATATCGTTGGATGCTTCTCATAATCTACCATACTGACGCACTATCATGAATTCCCTTGTATGCGTTACCCACCCACACTGAGTGTGAGCCGCAAGTGCTCAAATTCTAGATATTCATTCGTTGCTCTCGATGGGCGTACGTCATCGAGGAGAAGTAGATTATCAACGCTCATCGAGGAGACCATACGATCGACGAGATCGGCACCCATTACGTCCCCATTCGAAGGGTAGGCTATCAAAGGAAGAGTATTATTGTGATGCTCGCTTGCACCGCGGTGATGCCAGGTGTGATCTCGGTCGGCTGCACGTTGGAGTTGCTGCTGCTTGACGTCGCCGTGAACAGTCGTTCAGAGTTCAATAGTACCATGAGTGGTTTGAGCAAGAAGGCATCAACAACTTTATGGCAAGGGTTGAGAACCCAAATCCTCCTTTGCTTTCATCGTGAAGCTCCCATATCCTGGTTCTTGCAACAACCTTTACCTCCTTACCCTCTTTCTCCATTTGCGTCCATGTCTCTCCTCCTCCTACCCCCCCCATCGCTTCATGCATACCATCTCTTGTCTGCACGCACGAACGGGTTCGTTCGTTTTGATTTGACAAAATGTTATTTCTGTTTTTTTTTTTTTTTTCTTCAGGAAAAAAAAAACATACTATGTATGCGCATAATGTGTATGCTGCATTTGATCCATAATCGCTTGCATTCCATGATCATTTTTATGTAAATAGAAATATCACGCACATAGTACATCATTGTTGACACCATTAGTGGCTTGATACTTTGTTGAAGTTAGGCCTACGAGGAAATGAAGTTAGGCCTAAGAAGAAGTACAGGATCTCTTCTCACTAGTACCTCAACTGTGAGAACCATCACAAGAGAGGACAACAGTCCCCAAGGTGCATTTGGTTGCCAAAGTCCACGTGTTAATAATAGAATGGCCCACGTCTTACTTCTGGGTCTCCGAGAACAGTGCCCTGCGGGGCTCCACGTCACTGGCTAACATCCTGAGGTTGTTCGGAGGCATCGAGGTTTGTGCGCCTGCGTGGCTGCAAGAGCACGTCCTAATTGGCTCGCGAAGCGCGGGCGATTCTTCGCCGCTCCAAGTGCCTGCATCGCCCTGGGAATTGCTGGCCTCACCACAGCCCTTCAACCTCCCCCACCCTCCCCCTTCCTGCCCCCTTCCCCATCCGTTCAAGCACCGCCCAGCCACAGCCGGGGAGAACTGCCTAGAGTGCGGGGCGGAAATCCACATTTCCAAGCTTAGCGCGACATCCAGGGGGAAGTGATGACAGGCTGTACTCGGACATATATTCGAACAGATTTCTTCCTAGCCAGATAATTCAGATTTTAACATTGAATCGTTCCACAGAAGACCTCAAGAGCCATTTGTGACTTCGATCAGCCTGTTGACGAGGTATTCACTTGCGCTAGTTTTCTAACTCGACTCAGGCTTCTATTCGCATTAGCTCTAGCGCAATGGCTTCCATCGCTGCTCACGCCTCCCTCGCGCTTCCTGCGCGTGCAATCCATAGCAGTGCCGCACCGCAGAAGCTGCGGTCGTCAGTTCTCGGCCAACGCCTGGCCGTTACCGTTAAGAAGCACCTCGCCGCAGCCTGCCAGCGCAACACCTCCCCTAGAGCCGCTGCTGACGACGCCGCTCTTACACTTGCTAAGGCCCTTCCTCCCGCTGCTCTTGCTTCCCTCGTCCTATCCCTCGCCGCATCCCCCGCCGCGTTTGCCGAGGATGTCGCTGCTCCCGCGACCCCTGTCTTCGGGACTGAGCTTCAAGTCCTTACTCCTGCCGCCGCTCCCTCAGCCCTGGAGCAGTCGTCCCTCTCTGCCCCTCCCGTGGCCACGGCTAACCGTCTAGATCTGCCTGAGAGCACCACCTGGCGCTACAGCGAATTCATCAACGCGGTGCAGAGCGGTAAGGTGGAGCGCGTGCGGTTCAGCAAGGACGGCGCGTTCCTTCAGCTGACGGCCATCGACGGCCGCCGCGCATCCGTCACTCTGCCGAACGATCCGAGCCTCGTGGACATTCTGGCTCAGAACGGCGTTGATATCTCCGTCGCTGAGAGCGAGGGGGGCAACAACTACGTCGGGCTCATCGCGAACCTGCTCTTCCCGCTGATCGCGTTCGCCGGGCTCTTCTTCCTCTTCCGCCGCTCGCAGGGAGGCGCTGGCGGAGTCGGCGGCCCCGGCGGCCCCATGGACTTCGGCCGCGCCAAGTCGAAGTTCCAGGAGGTTCCCGAGACGGGCGTGACATTCAAGGACGTGGCAGGTGCTGATCAGGCGAAGCTGGAGCTGCAGGAGGTCGTCGATTTCCTCAAGAACCCTGGTAAGCCTTATTTTCTCTTGTCTACTCCATCTACATGTCAGCCACAGCTCGTTAACATACCATTTTTCTTAACAATCACCCCAAATTCGAACAAATTTAGCTGCATCTATATAATTCGTCGGACTTCCAACAAATTCTCTCTCATTTTCCATCTTCTTTCGTTCTATTTGTGCTTCCTGCAGACAAGTACACCCAGCTGGGTGCCAAGATCCCTAAGGGCTGTCTGCTCGTGGGTCCCCCCGGTACTGGCAAGACCCTTCTCGCCCGTGCTGTCGCCGGTGAGGCCGGAGTGCCCTTCTTCTCCTGCGCCGCCTCCGAGTTCGTAGAGCTCTTCGTCGGCGTCGGTGCTTCCCGCGTCCGCGACCTCTTCCAAAAGGTGAGCATGCGACGACTAATTTGAACCCAAATGTGTTGTTTCCTGTGACAACATTCCATGATTCTGCCATTTGAAAGAACGGCAAGAAAAAGGTAGATCAGCTGAGTGTCGAGGATGGAGTGTTGATCTATGTTCCAACTTGTCGCCTTGCCTCTCCAGGCCAAGTCCAAGGCCCCCTGCATCGTCTTCATCGATGAGATAGACGCCGTGGGCCGTCAGCGTGGCGCCGGTATGGGCGGCGGCAACGACGAGCGCGAGCAGACGATCAACCAGCTGCTGACGGAGATGGACGGCTTCCAGGGCAACACGGGCGTCATCGTTCTCGCCGCCACCAACCGTCCCGACGTCCTCGACTCCGCGCTGCTTCGCCCCGGCCGCTTCGATCGCCAGGTGACCGTTGACCGCCCGGACGTCGCCGGGCGCGTGTCGATTCTCAAGGTGCACTCGCGCGGGAAGGTGCTCGCGAAGGACGTGGATCTCGACAAGGTTGCGCGCCGCACGCCCGGGTTCACCGGTGCTGATCTGCAGAACCTCATGAACGAGGCGGCGATCTTCGCCGCGCGGCGCAACCTGAAGGAGATCTCTATGGACGAGATCTCCGACGCGCTGGAGAGGATCATTGCGGGCCCCGAGAAGAAGGGCGCTGTGGTATCCCCTGAGAAGCGCCGCCTGGTGGCCTATCACGAGGCTGGCCACGCCGTGGTGGGCGCGCTCATGCCGGAGTACGACCCCGTTGCTAAGATCTCCATCATCCCCCGTGGCGGCGCTGGTGGGCTTACCTTCTTCGCCCCCAGCGAGGAGCGCCTGGAGTCGGGGCTGTACTCGCGGTCGTACCTCGAGAACCAGATGGCTGTGGCTCTGGGAGGCCGTATTGCCGAGGAGCTCATTTTCGGTGCGGAGAATGTTACCACTGGCGCTTCGAACGACTTCATGCAGGTGTCGCGTGTGGCTCGGCAGATGGTGGAGAGGCTCGGGTTCAGCAAGAAGATTGGGCAGTTGGCTCTCGGTGGTGGCGGAGGGAACCCGTTCGTGGGCCAGCAGGTGTCAAACGCAACTGAGTACTCGATGGCTACGGCTGATTTGATTGACTCGGAGGTGAGGGAGCTGGTGGAGAGGGCGTATGCGAGGGCCAAGACCCTGCTGACTGAGAACATTGATGTGATGCACCAGCTGGCCGATCTGCTGATGGAGAAGGAGACGGTGGATGGGGAGGAGTTCATGAGCCTGTTCATTGATGGTGATGCTAAGCTCATGTTGAACTAGGGGAATGAGTGTGTGCTTTGGTTGGTGTGCTTTGGGGTATTGTACTCTTGGGATTCGGCAGTTCGAAATCTTGTAAAAACTTCTACATTGATTATTAGGCCTTGTCTGATTGTAAGGCAGTTGTAGAGACCATGTTTTTACTGTAAGGTCTGTGTTCTCATTCTTTCTCATACCGCAAGACCTTAGGATAGTTCTATGGTAGTACCAGCACTCGCTTATGTCCGTATTCATGAGTCGACCTATGTAACGAAGACGACACTCTTAGAGCATGCCCACTCTCAATATTATTTATCCTTTAAGCGGATGGCGGATGTAATGTGGTGTAGACAACCTTCGGTTGTACAACATCGCATATGCATGAACAACCTACGGCAACTGAATTGCATTCTCTGCATCAAATCGCCTCCAAACATTACGTATTGATGAACCGTGAGAGACATGTATCAGAACATAGATTTCCGCGTAGCTAGAAATTGTTACGAATAGTGATTATTGAAACACTACTGTGCACTCCTCACCGCAGCAATCGAAGCACGCACTACCGAGAATGAAGGCGAAAGGGCGGAAGTAACGCGAAGGGTCGCACAGTTACGAAAGCATCTGGACCGTCGGGCAGACAGCATTAGGCAGCAGCGGTGGCAAGGATTCTGCCCGGACAGTTTCGTAACTGTCTGGAGTCGCACGGTTGGATTTCGATGTAATAAGGGAATGTACTGTCAAATGTTGTAGTCTTAGTGATGTGTGTTATAGGGGGTACAACTATTAGGGTTAGGTTTATGTACCCCAACCAACCTTAGTAAAAAAAACACTTTCATTCTTGACATGGTATCAGCTAGGTTAGGATCCTGTGGGATCCCGTTCCTCTCGTTCACGTCCGTAGCGCCCGAGCCTGTCCCGTACCCTAGTGCCCGTTACGCCCGTACGGTCCCCTAGCGCCTATCGCGCTCGTCTCTCTCGTGCCCTAGCGCCCGCTGCGCTTGCCGTCGCGTCGCCCCTGCTGTCCCGTCCCATCTTGTCGCCCCTGCTGTCCCGTCCCGTCCCGTCGCCCCTGCTGTCCCGTCGCGTCGCCCCTGCTGTCCCGTCCCGTCCCGTCGCCCCTGCTGTCCCGTCCCGTCCCGTCGCCCCTGCTGTCCCGTCCCGTCCCGTCGCCCCTGCTGTCCCGTCGCGTCGCGCTGTCCCGCCGCGCCGCGCCGTCCGTCCCGTCCCGTCCCGTCCGCGTCGCGCTTCCCGTCCCGTCCCGTCGCACGCGCCCCGTGCCCCCTGCCCGTCCGTTGCGCCCCGTGCGCCCTGCCCGTCCGTCGCGCCCCGTGCGCCCTGCCCGTCCGTCGCGCCCCTGCTGCGCCCTGCCCGTCCGTCGCGCCCCGTGCGCCCTGCCCGTCCGTCGCGCCCCCGCTGCGCCCTGCCCGTCCGTCGCGCCCCGTGCGCCCTGCCTGTCCGCACCTGTCGCGCCCTGCCTGTCCGCACCTGTCGCGCCCGTCCCTGCCAGTTGCGTCCTGTCCCGTCGCGCCGCATTGTCTGTCACGCCCTACGCAGGCCCTTTAGGCGTTTAGGGTTTCGGCAACAGCGGTCACCACCTCTTAGCTTCTGCTATGGCGACCCCTAGGGTCCTGCGTTTTGACGCCGAGGGTAGGCCGCTTGAGTTCACCGTCTGGCTCCTGCGTGCGCGCCGCCTTTTAGAGAGTCAGGTTCAGGCAGATGAGTCTCTGTGGGCACTCGCTTCTGGCGAACTTCCTAAGCCCGACGACCCTGCACCCTTAGCAGCTGACCCCACACCTGCAGACAGTGACCGTTATGCACGCGAGCGTGCTGACGTGACCGCGTGGAAGTCGCGTGACGCTGCGGCCTGCATCGCCCTCAGCAGCCTCCTCCCTGAGTCTGAGGAGACCCACTTCACTCAGGTTCGCACGGCTAGTGAGTTCCTGACTGCGATCAAGGCCCGCTACGCTACTCCCACCACTGTCTCTCTTGGTCGCCTGTTCCTTCCGTTCCTGTTTCCTGACCTCGCCTCGTTTGAGCGCACTGCTGACTTGATCACTCATCTGCGCTCGCTCGATTCTAGCTACCGCGCTGCTTGCACTGACGCACAGCTTGCACTGCTCCCTCCCCCCATGGCGATTACTATCTATTTCATCGCCACTAGCCTCCCTGACCGCCTTGCCTCGGTTCGTGACGCGCTTCTTCTGAAGCACCCTAGCGAGCTCACTATCGAGGTCCTTGAGTCGGCCCTCAAGGACGTTGAGAGCAACCTCCGCTCGGTAGCATCTGCCTCTGGTGCTGTGCCCCCTCCACTGTTTCACGGGTGCACTGTCCCTCAGCTGCCCACCTTTACTGCCTCCCTCGCCACTGCCGCTACTGACGTGACCGCAGCTGCTGTTACGACTTCTTCACGGTCCCGGGGTAGGAGTGGCAGGAGGGGCGGTCAGGGTGGGGGCGGAGGCGGCGGAGGCGGTGGGGGTGACGTGGCGAGCGGCGGCGGCGGGAGTGCAGGGGCTGGAGGAGCGTCTCGTACAGTGGCCGGTGACTCCCCTGCTGCAGCTGGTGGAGGTGACGCCCGGGTTCGTCAGCCACCTACTGGTCTGCCAGTAGCAGGGGGTGGAGCAGCGGCGTGGTACCTGACTCAGCGACAGCAGCAGCAGCAGCAGCCCCTCCCCTCGCAGCAGTCACAGCAGCAGCAGCAGGTTTCGAGGCAGGGGTCAGGACAGCGTCAGCTGCAGCGCGGTGTCGTCCACTCTCCCTGCACCTATCACGTTCTGACAGGTGCCCGCCGCGGCCAGCCTTGTGGCCGCAGCCACCCACCAGGTCAGTGCTTTGCTCAGCTTACTGACACGGTTCGGTTGGCCTACGGCGTTGACGGCCCTGCCCCTGACTGGCTTCCCCTTGTTCAGACTTACGGCCCTGCTCTGTGGGGCATGTCGGCTTCTCAGTTGGTTGATCTCTTAGGAACTCCTCATGCTATGTATGCTGTTGTTGACTCTAGTGCTTCTGACTCTGTTTACTCGAGTGTTGTTAGCTTAGGTGCTAGTCTTGCTGAGGTGCCTGTTGCTAGTGTAGGTACTTGTGTAGACACTAGTCCAGGAGCTGCTCCGGAGGACGCCTCGCTGTCTTTCACTATGGACTCCGGAGCTTCGCACTGTTTCTTCCGCGACCGCACGACACTTACCCCGCTTCCTACGCCGGTCTCTGTAGCACTGGCTGATCCCACTTCGGGACCAGTCACTGCTCGCTACACTACTACGCTTCCGTGCCCGGCTGTTCCCTCCGGTTCTCTGACCGGCTTCCACGTCCCTTCGTTCTCGAGGAACTTGGTGGGCGTGAGGCCGCTCGTGAGTCAGCACGTGGGTGTGTGGATTGAGCCTTCTGGCGAGACTGCGGTTTGTGTCGACGGGGACACGTACGCGCCTCTCGCCACCTTTACTGCTGAGCCGGGCTCTGGTCTCTACACACTTCACACTGGCCCCCGAGGGCAGCAGTAGCAGCAGCAGCTACTGCCCCCGACCCCTGTCACTGCCCCCCGTCAGGTTCCCGCGTCTCACCAGGTTGCCGCGTCTCCCCAGGTAGCTGTGTCTGGTCAGGTTTCGGTGTCTGGTCCAGTTGCTGCGTCATGCTCCTGCCGGTCACTTGCCCACCCCACTATTTTGTGGCACCACCGGATGGGGCACCCGTCCATTTCTCGCCTGCGCGCTATGTCTAGTCAGCGTCTTGTCTTAGGCCTCTCGCGAGTCTTGCCGTCGCTGCCGCCTTCGCTTGCACCACCTTGCGGTCCCTGCGTCGAGGGTCGGCTGCGCGCCACCCCTCACTCCTCCTCCCTTCGTCCGGCCACCGAGCCCTTCGAGACTCTCCACTTGGACGTATGGGGCCCCGCCTCGCGCCCTGGCCCTGAGCGAGAGAGTTTCTTTCTCGTGGTCGTTGACGACTACTCCCGCTACACCACAGTGTTCCCCCTGGCGAAGAAGTCCAACGTGACTTCTACGCTGATCCGGTGGTTACTTACCACTGCGGACACTCGTGGTCGTCGTGTCAGCTGTCTTCACTCCGATTGCGGGGGTGAGTTTCGCTCTGGCGTTCTCGCTGGATTCTGTCGCGAGCAGGGCATCCGTCAGTCCTGGCAGCTTCCAGAGTCCCCACAACAGAATGGGGTTGCTGAGCGCCGCATAGGCTTGGTCATGGAGATCGCCCGCACCTCCATGACTCACGCCCGTGCCCCCCATTTTCTGTGGCCTTACGTGGTTCGGCACCGCTCACCAGCTGAACTTCTGGCCACGTGTCTCTCGGCCAGAGGTTTCACCGACCAGTCTTTGGACCGGGTCCCCTGGTGCTGCGTCGCGTTTTTGTGTCTGGGGTTGCTTGGCACTTGTTCGCGACACCTCCGCGGACAAGATCTCGCCTCGCGCTGTTCCCTGCGTTTTCCTTGGTTTCCCTGCTGACTCCTCTGACTACACCTTTTACCACCCTCCCCTTCACCGGTTCTTTGACTCTCGTGACGTCCGTTTCGACGAGTCCGTCCCCTACTACGCCAGGTACCCCTGTCGAGGTCTCCCGGTTCCTCCTCCCCCTCTCTTCCTGACTTCAGCTCCCCCTCCTGCTCCCCTGGTACAGCCTCCCCCCCCTGGTCCCGCCCCGTCAGGTGTGTCCCACGCTACCCCTCCCCCCTCGGTAGCCCCTCAGGTGCAGCCTCCTTCCCCGCAGTCCTCCTCCCAGCCTACAGCAGACCCTGCGGGAGCCGGTTTTCGTGGCGAGGACCCTGGAGGTGCTAGCTCTAGAGGTGCTGGAGTTGGAGCAGAGAGCGTACCTGTGCGAGGTCCTGGTTCTGGGGGTGCTGGAGTTGGAGCTGAGCCCGTGACTGCAGAAGACTCTAGTCTTCGGGGAGCTGGTGTTAGTGGAGCTGTCCCTGGGGGTGCTACGACTGGGGGTGCACCCTCTGCTGGACCTGGAGAGCCTGGGACGGACCCTATTACTTCTGGTGGTGCTGGCTCTGGGGGTGGTGCGACTGGTTCTTTGGA